TCCCGGACCCCCGGTTCACAGCCAGCACAATACAACGTTAATGATCGTTGTAAAGGATCCCAGGTTCCGTGTCATTTATGTCGATGATATTTATTCCACCATTTGCACGAGAGGTGTTGCAAGTCGAGAGACTCATGAATGGAAACTAAGCAACAGATTGCTTTCCACGTAGTTAGTAGCAGCAACGGTTTCAGAAAGTCTATCCGTGGCTGGCGCATTTCATTCAGACAGCCAATCAAGTTTATATCCGACAGCTTCAGGTGACGTTCGTTAACGTGCAATCTCCTCTTTCACGAGGAGACTTCTCTACTCACCGTGGCAAGTATTTTAGACACCGTGACCCCTTGGGAGTGCTATGGTATACGTATCGCCATTACCACGACATCGTGTCCCTTGCTTTTCACACAAATTATCGTCCCAGAGTGTATATTCGCGGTAAAACATACCGCTTCACGGGAGATATATATCGTTTCGGGAAAAATTGCTGGCAAATAACCGCTGTCACACGCGACATATCGGTGAACTTGTTTTCGCCCAATTTTGTCCGACTTTTCGGTTTACTTTCGATAAACCGACGTCGGACGTGTATCGTCGCGTAACGACACGAGAATATCAAGCAGTAGGAAAATTTTCTCTACTTTTTTCGGTAAAATTCGATGTTTGAAAAAATGAAAGAAAATTTTTGGCGACTTTTCTCCATCTTTCGGAAGGCACATGAATTCCGTTGCAGTAAAAATATCGCAGAAGTTATCAAGTTGTGAGTATTAAGGTTTTTTAGAGAAATATTTGGGATTCTAGTGGGACGATTTGTCAGAGTAAAGTTTACGGATTTAAATGACGCAGGACTAATAAGGAAAGATTAGAATAATAGGTGGCTGGGATAACACGGAGAAAGTTCTGGGAAACGTTGAAAACTGCCAAAGCTCTCGCCGCCCCGGGTATTTGGAATTAGAATAGAAGTTCCTAATTGACGCGTTCTTTTTCGTGAAACAAATATCCCAGCGTTTTCTCCCATCGAAATCACGCTCGTCGAGAATCGGCGTCTGTATCAGTTTTTGTAATTGATCGTTGTTCAATTAAATTACTTAATTAAAACGTTCGCGAGAAGATATTGATCGTTTTACGCTTGCACAGCGGATCAGAAGTACGTGTTGCTGCGAAATTGAAACGTAACTGTAGGCTTTTCGTTTGTTTTGCAAACACGCGTACACGGCAAAAATCGAAACAGAAAAAAGAATAAAAAAAACACTGGGTGTTGATGTAATTGAGGATTTAATTAAATTTAGCTGGGAATCAAATTCTACTCGATTGAGAAAAAAGAAAAATACAATGAATCGCGCGTTTCAATCAATTTTTCGTGTACGATAACGACGCGGCAGTTTACTAGTCTATGCAGCGTTACGCTCTCTGTTTCATACGAGAAAAAAAAAACACAAGAGTATACTTGTTCCGTTGAAATTAAATATAACGAAGTGTTAAATTGCAGTAGATAGAAGAATAATTGAAATGAAAATATATTCGGAAAAGCGATAGAGAAGATTGCTCTCGTCATGCCTCTATTTAAATTGCTTCACAGTGTACACGGAGGCGGCACAGACGTCTCCCGTGTTATCATTCGCCCTATTTCACGATCCCGGCTTACATTCAATCCGCGGAAGACGAAAAAAAGAGGAAGCGAAAAAAAAAAAAGGAAAAAATAGAAGAGCGCAGAAGGGGGACAAACCCCGAGGAAAAATAATTTCACTCAGTCGTCGTATCATCCATTTTTATTTTTCCTCTCTCGATTTATGTATATACATGTACAATGATTCAGTATCGTCACAGTGTAGCATCGTCTTACACGCTACCTAACACCCTTAAAAAGCCGCGTGTGTGCTCGACGAACAAACTCGGGCGGAAGTGAATTCTCGCGTCAGCAAACACGTAGAAGCGGAAATAAGGGCGCGGAATTCGAGTTTCCTCCGCCGTTTTAAATCGGAAAGCGTGTTACGCCAATTTTTCACTTCTCTTTTTTTTCTGTATTCTTATCGTACGTAAATACACCGACGGCTCGATGAAAATTTACGAGGGTATTTTTCAATTTCGAAACCATTTACTCTCCTCGCCATTGAAATTAACATTTTTATTCGAACAACCATAAACACACGTCGGTTACGAGTTTCTCAACACGTGGTAGCAGCGAAAGGTAGCGAATTCTTTGACGCGGTTTTCGCGAGCGGAGAAATTTGATAGGCAGTTTGGTTCGAAAAGAAAAAATCCACGGATGATTTGATTTACCTCTCGTCACAGACGAGAACCTCGGGGTGAAATGTTGGCCGTATGCCCGCGTCGCAAGCGTTCGCTTTTCGTCGCCGTTTGTTCGACAAGGGTGCACGCGACTTTCTCGCTTTCTACGTTTGCCGAATTCGCTTCGAACGAGAAAAGGAAAGAAAAAGAGTCGCTCGGACGTGGCGCGGCAAAAATCGCTGCTGCCTTCCACGCGGAGTGGCGGTTGTTAAACCAGTTATATTCGTTCGATCGGTTTCTAGATTTGCTCGTTCGAGGCTCATTTCCTTTCACAGGCGAACGGAACCGCGATGCGCCGCTTATAATCTACGAATTAGGGCCGCTTGATCTCGCGCGGATCCTCCTCGCGGTTCTCCTCTCGTCGACTCCGTGCAACATTGCGATATCCACGATCGCAACGCTATTTTTTCGAATGAAAGGGGGTGCCCGCTTACGAAGAAGATGCCCGGAGTAACCGATAGCATCGAGACTCACAAGGAATCGAAGATCCTTTCGAGCCTGTCTCGACACGAGACACACCAGGTACACCAGAATTGGGAATGTGGCCAATTGGACTTGCATGATTCGTGGAATTCCCTGGGAAGTATCCGGCCACCGAAACAGTTTGGAGTTCCATCTGCTGCATTTTTTACATTCTACGTAATACCGATCATTCGCCACTGTAACGTTACTCCAAACTTTCTTGAACGTCTTAACCCTTTCGCTACGGTCGTCTTTGCCAAATTTCTATGAAATACCTGCTATCTTAAAACGCGAGTAACAGAGCTGTGAAAGTAGCGAAAGAGTTAAGGATCTCTAGCAGACGAAGAGAATCATACAACAGGTAATCCATGGAAGTACTTATAGCATACAATTGTACAATGAAACATTTCAAGGAACTTCACGCGTTAAAAGTTAATGTCCAGCTCGTTAAGCGCTAATTAAACAACCACTAAGTTTATTGTCCCTAAATTCTACGGTGAGTCAGATAAGAGGTGTCGACAATGATATGTCAAATTTCGAACGGGGAACATAATCACAACAGTTCGATACAACGCCACCCACATTCGTATCTCTACGAAGCACCTGGATGTATCGATCGTGCGAACGTGTTCCTCTCGTCGTGCGAAAATTATAACACGAGACTCGCGAATTCGTGCGATTCGAAGAAGAGGAGGCTGTGTGCCTAGGGAGAAGATCTGGTGACGTTCGAAGCAACCTTGGACTGCGCTAGAGAACATCGTGTCTGAATGATTTCGAAAGACGTCTCGCGACGATTATCCAGTAGGTGCAAGTGACATTTTACAATTTTGCACAAGATTGACGAGCGTGTGCAACCTTCGCGATGTACCGAACCGTTGTACAGATCCGTTGCTCGGTCGCTCGCTCGCTCGTCGAATTTCACCAATTCCTGCCTCCGAATATCCCGTGGCTTTGCATCCTTTGACACGTCGGCCGTGTTATCGATGAACCGTGCAATCGTCAGTGCACAAAAGGTCCGCTTTACTCCTACCGAATTTCCAGTGTTCCGGATGGAAGAGCCAGGCGCCTTGAATCAACCCTCTCTGTTCCGATGCCTATCCGTGGTCTGTTTTATGCATGTATACACGAGCTTAGATGGGTGATATCAAGGGTACCATGAAAAATCCCGGAAAACAGGGAATCTCTACCTGTGTGAGATCGATCTCGTCTAACCTTACCGGTGAACACGTTAACAGAATATCAGACCTATGTATGTATATACATAGTACGGATTCGAATGATCCACGAGTGATTTTGATTGGAAGGGAGAGAGGACCGAGACTATCGACGATGAATTAACAGCGTGAAACTGAATCCGATTATCATTCACTTCTCTGCTACTCTCGAACAGAGAGAGAGAGAGAGAGAGAGAGACATTTGACTTCGAGATGTTCGAATTTGCGATTCGACGCTGCTCCGTTACCTTCTCTCCTCCGCTGCCTATTTTGCAAGTCGATTCGGCGGCCGCTGTCTGTCTCGAACGGAACGGTCCGTCGATAACCGTGGGCCCGCGAGTAAACGATTCGAAGGGGAACTGCGACGTCGTAAATAATTCTATTCGAGATCTAATAAGAGTTAGTGTGTTGGAAGAAAGGAATTTACGTTCTCGCGTGAGCCGGTGATAAGATTGTCTCGCTTGCAGGGGTGGAGGAGGAGGAAAAACGATCGCGCGGAGAAAACTGTATCAATTCTTATCCGTGGCGCGTTAACTTTCAAATGAAAAATAAAGAACACGCCATCGGAGATAGTCGAGCTGAGTGAATTCTTCCCGCGGACCAAACGCACACGCACGCACGCACACGCGCATACACACCGGTCTCTTCTTAGCGTTTTAGAATTTTCTTGAACGGAACCATATGTATTCGACCGTGACACGATCGCGCCAGTTCATCCTGAAAAATTGCCCGCGTTACAGGGGGGAATCTCGACGAAAAATCTGTGTACCGGCTAAACTACGCAATCCACTTTAACATTCTGTTTACCGTTACCACGAATTCGCTTCTCGCTAACCTTATCACCGAGATTACTACCTCTACACACTTTTTCACTCTACAGAGAACAGACGTCAAACGATTTCTTTTTCCTTCTTCTTTTTCAACCGAATCAAGTATCTGGAGATATTACAAGAACCTCTTGAAATCGAGACAAGAAAATCGAACAGCGACGATAATCGTACCGCGATAAAGATACAAGAGACAACGTATCCTATAACCTGTGTCCCGTCCGCTTTAACTAGAGAAATCGCTCGTTTTCGCGGAGTGAAGAGGACGAACTGAAACGTTCTAAATAATCGAAATCGCGTCTTGCCGTCGCATACGTCGCCGCCGGATTCGCTCAGTTTCACCGCCGGTCACCGACGCGAATACCGATCTCCTCTCGTTCGAAAACTTCAGGATCAACTTCTTACTCGCCGCGTGAATTAATCGAACGATTCCGGACACGTTCGACGATTTTCAACCGAGAAGAGGGGAAAAGAATTGGAGTTTCTACGCGATCAAAGACACACCAGAGAGAGAATATCTACACTTTCGTAACGTGACGACACATCGAACGAACCTGTTCCTGTGTACGTACTTACACACCGTTACGATTTTATGCACGCGAGAACGAAGTAACCAAGTGTCGTCACCTCTCTACCGAAGAATTGTGTTTAAGAGAGGCGTTCTGTATACACTATATTCGCTCGACATGTGTTTAACACCGTTGCTGGCTTGTACGTACACACAATCTACATTTCACGATACGTACACACGAGGCTCGTTCCAGTGCGGCGCAAGCAAACTGTTCAATATCAAGTTCAACCTCGAACAGTCGACCAGCGTTGTTTGAAGTTGAATCTTCGTTCTTTCCTTCCTGCGGCGGATGAGATAATGGTACGTATTGATAGAGAGTTGCGTTGCTCGAGTACTATCAGGCAACCTGTTAATCCTTGATACTTCTACCGCTTCGATACCAGTTTTAACATCGTTTCGACGTCCTTTCTTTTTTCTCGCGGTACGCATCGATGGCAAGATGAAAAATCAGACGAAACGCAGCATCGTTCGGTTCTTCGAGACTTTGCACCGGTTCTTCCTAGACGACGAGAGTCTTTGAACCTCGATACCGACGAAGTTTCAGATGATATTTCCGGTGGTGAAGGTTTTTCGATCGAGACTAGAGTATGATATAATATTCGGAGAGTGAACATGGTCAATCACGATGGTCAATCATGAAATATAGATGAACAAATTTTTGAATTTCCGTTTGATCTTGTTTCGAATCTGACGATCAAACGTTGATCGTTCCTATTGTCCAATCTCTTCGTCGTATCTTCTGAATATTTGTCGTCGAAGCTTTTGTCTCACAGGTGAATCAAATATTCACGCTCCTCTTTCGTTGGTCCGAAAACGGTGAGACAAACTTCTCTAAAGATCCGAAGATCATCCTTTCAAGTTTCTGTTGCCTCTTGGTCTTTCCAGCACTGCCAATTAACCGCTGAATTAAGCAAGATGAACTCGGCTTTGTTTCATCTACGAAGTGTCTTCGACCGACGTTTAACACCACGCTGTTGTACACGTGTTGGAGAACACAAGTCTCGCGAAATTACGACAAAGACTCTTCTCGCTGTTTCTGTCTCTTTCTTTTTTTTTTTTTTTTTTGACAAACGAGGCAACTTCGTTCAGATAACGACACCGTTACGTGACTCTTTTCGTCGACAACCTTTCCAGACCCAGAAAGAAACGAGCGAAGAGTATATTTTTCGTTGAAAGAGAGATGCGTGACATTGTCGTTCTATGTATAGCTCGATGAATTTCAATAGTACATGCACACAATGCTCGTGTTACGACGAAAAAAGTTCATCTACTCTTTTTTTTGGTTTCTTTTCCTTTTATTTTACCCTACCGGTTGCGATCTCAGTTCGTAAAGAGGGAACATCTTGAAGGAAGCCAACTTCTCTGTATCGGCGACAGAAAGGAAAATTCGGAGATTTTTGGAATGAAATCTCGTGGATCGTGTGTCGATAGGACACCGACTATTACCAGATATAACAGTCGACTTGATTTATCTAATTCAGACCAAGGAAGAACGAGGAATTGCTATTTAATCACGGATAAAGACGAACTCGTTGTAATGATTCCAACGATTCTCCTCGTAGTCCACTCCAGGTTTCAATTGTTCCGAGTTGCCGCCGGCTGTGCCGGAACCGCAGCTACCGGCCAGCTTAAACCCATGCTCCTGAAGCATGTCGAAAGCTTGCTCTATAGAGCTGTGCTTGAGGAAGAACCTGGAGGTGTAACGGTCAGTGATACCGTGGTCAGGATCACGGCTCTCGTTCAACGTCTCCCCGAATACGTCTCTGCATAGTGTGACGCGGCCGCATACAAGGATCCTCGACAGCTTCCGGAACTTCACATCCGCCAGACCTTCGCGGCCGAACGCGAAGCTTCCGCGATAACCGAGTGTTATGTATCCGGGTGTTTTCTTCCCCGAGGAAGTGAAGGAACCGGAAGGTTTGCCATTTTCGAGAATGGCACGTTCCAAGCCGGGCAGACCGTAAAAATTCGCCTCCTGCTTCAATCTCTCCTTCTCTCGAAAGCCTTCCGGCAGAACCAACGCTTGGTTACGCAGGAAATCGAGGACGTAACGGAAGAGTACCCCGTCACGATCCAGGAAGTATTTCCCCTTGGCATCCTTCTCTACCGGCGTTTTTCCCGAAAACAAAGCGGCCAGATGAGAATCGCTTTCCCGAGTGAGGGTGGTGAGCGCAGTGGTGTAAAATACACCGCCCACGTTCAGCTCCACCACGCTTGGCACGGCTTCCTGTTGCTGCTCCGTCTGCTGTTGATCCACCATGCTTCTGACGCTTCTCTCCCTCTCTTTCTCTGTATACTCGTCTCGCGCGAAGGTCCGATTCGAGTGGAACGGTGGGGGAGTAAGTAACACGCGGGGAATTAACGAGAGTGGAATAGGTGTCTAGGGATGTAGAACGCGAGATATAACGAGGGGGAGGGGAAAAAAGAAAGGGAATAAAATCTCAACTGTGTTTATATTCTCGTCTCGCGAGACGTCGAGAGAGGCTGATTGCACCCAGCGAAGAGAACACTTTTTAATCTTTTCCCCAAGAGTACACTGTACACAGCACGGTGAGAAGGATCGCGTAAACAGCGAGAGAGAACGGTAGCGACGTTGACAGGTCGGTGACCGAGGGATAGTTGAGGGTTGCGACAAGGTAGACACACTCCAAGATAGTTCTGACCCCGAAAGCGTGCTCTCTCGGAGCTGGGGACGAGAAAGACTGACGATGAGAGACTGCGCCTACGGTCGGTCGAGGAAGGCCGAGCTTAGCTCGGCTCCGTCGCTACGCTTCCTCTCCTAGGCAGTTGGCGCGCGCGGCAGGACGCACCGCTCGTGTGTATTGCAAGGCACCGATACGCTGGCGCAGAAGGTGCACCGACAACGCGCGCCGATCCTCGAATGGAGAAACGCGCGCACCTACCCCCTTGTCATTCGATCACTGCACGCGGACCATCGTCCGCGTGCTATCGTCCCAACGAAATTTCACTTTTTCTTATTATCACAATTATCTCTCGATAATTGATTACGCTTAATTCCATCGGCCGATCACGCTTCGTTGTCCTCGAATTTCGCGTAGGCGAAATATTACGCGGTTCGCTTTGCTCACGAGTAACGACAGAGTGGCGTGAAAAAGGTAGAAAATAGTGTTATACACCTACCTTTGAACGACGCTTGTAGTTACTCCTCTGCGTTCTCCTCGTTTCAACTTCGAAAACCTCCTGTTTTCTCGGCCTTTTGGTAATTTATAGGATCCCACACTGTTTCTGACGTTTCGAAGTTCCGCCATTGTTGCGACGCGACGAAATACGCGGGAAAATACCTTCCCAGCATCCCTCTCGCTGTGAACCTAAATTCGACGTAAATGCGTACGTGTTGAGGTTATACGTTTATTTGAAAGACAACCGTTTGTCGTTATATATGTTTAGAGATATTTATGATAGTTCGATCGTTTGTGTGACTCGTGCATAGTACATATAACGATAGACAAAACGATGCGATCTGTTGATACAGTTAAACGTAATTATCAGTAAAGAGCTGCCAACCTCGAGAGCTTCTATGTGCGCATTTCCTGTCACATATATACACACTGTTTCACATTTTCACGAGATAAAAGCTGGGAACAAACGTATTTAGAAGCAATGACGTCAAATATTTATGAGTGTATATTTTTATTTGATCATCGAACAATTAGCGCGTTCCCCACTGCTTGTCCCCACTTCTCGATCAGCTGGTTTCACGAATGGCCGATGTAGCGCACCGATCAGTTAAGCTGGATACATGAATTGGATGGCCTGCGATGGCCGCGGTTAGCAGCGTGCGATCGTTGCAATTACTTTCCACTGCATTTTACGAACCAGTACGTTGCATTAGTTGCCATCTCCCTCTCGTACAGAACACGGTTACGTGGTAGAAACTGATGTCACTTTGTAATCTTTCTTGTGTTACTACGCAGATCAACGTATGTGAACAACTCGTCTTTTCATCGTCCGTCGGAAACTGGGACGACAATTCCGCGGGATAAATCACTTTGAATTAACAATTTAAACTGTCCGACTATCTTCCTAAGAAACGATCCGCGAAAAATGTCAGCGTCACAGACAAAAAACACAAGGGATGAATCCAGAGGTAATATTCTCACGAACCATACGTGGAGTAATGGACCCGACAGCGATGACGAGCTAGCTAGAGAAAATGAATTGTTGAACGAAAATATGGTCAGTCCAAGGTTCGTAAGTTTATCACGTTGTTTATACTAACCGTCCTTGATCGAACTAGTTATTGATATTCGTCGTTTAATTGTCTTTCGTCTCTTCTCGATTGATCTTTAATCGGTATTAGATATTAATATCGTCCTTATGTCACTGTCTTTCTTTGTTAACTGGTGCATCGTTAATAGTGGAATGCTGCACGCGGTATCGTATCTTTCTGATACATCGTTGAAATCTTTTGGAACGTTATTTTTCATGGATTCAATTCAATTGGTGGTAATAAAATTTTTATTTATTTTCTAATCTTGTGCATTGTCATGAACAAGACAAAGTACATGTTAAAACTACTTCAGATAAAACAAATAGTAAAATACTTTATGAGCTATGTGCTTTCCAATAATCTGTATTGTACAAATAATCACATGTTTGGTATGATAAGCTAGTAAATGTACTTTTTAATATTCTTTGTTCATGCATAAAAAGTAATACTATTATCAAGTGGATAATGTGTCAACTCAGTTGGATTAAAACTATCAACTGTAGAAGTAACATTGAAACATTTGAATAATATTTGTAGTTGTATATTGTAGTTAAAATTGTGAAATAATTTGTAATATCTGGTGAAATTTTCTTCTGTTTGTAGTCATCGACGATTAACTGTAGAAGAACAATCTGCTTATAATATGACACTGTTCACTGAGGGGAAGATGCGCAGAAAATTAAAGTTTTTCTTCATGAATCCTATTGAAAAATGGCAAGCGAAACGTCGCTTGCCGTATAAATTTGCTGTTCAAGTCATTAAAATTGTGCTGGTCACTGTACAACTGTGTTTATTTGCACATAACAACTATATGCATGTAAATTATGCTTGGGATAATCGAATTGCTTTCTCACATCTGTTTCTCAAAGGATGGGATGCTACTCAGGAGGTAATGTATTATTCAGTAATTATTTATTTTAAATGATATACGTATAATAATTCATATTTAAATATAATAATGAACACAAAAAAATGGTGATATGTTTTATGATTTTTACTTTCAGGTTGCACTTTATCCACCAGCAACAGGTCCTTTGGCAATTTATAAAAAAGATGATTTCTATCGTACAATTGATTATGCCTTAGATGGTTATTATAATCTTAGTAATGCAATTGGATCTTACTCGTATACTGCAGAAGACAACTCAGTAGATACTGTTGTTTTATGCTTATATCACTATAAAGAAGGTATTATATTTGGTTTTAATGAAAGTTATGTCTTTGATAAAGAAATCATAGAAGTTTGTATAAATATAACCACTGAATCTTACAACTTAATGGATACGTCGAAACGCTTATTGCGCGAAAATCAGATTAATATAAATTTTTCGGCCCTTGTTAGGGCTCATTTAAAGTTTGCTTTGAAAACTGTTAATTTAAAAGCTGCAGGACCTATGACTCCACCTGATTGTTATCAGTTTAATATAACAATTAATTTCGATAATCGCGATTTTGATGGACAAATGTTGCTTTCATTAGACGCCAAACCTGTAAGGTTGCAATGTAAAGGCGATACGCGTTACGTAACAAATAATCGCATTGAATCAACATTAAGGACTTTACTCAATTTACTTGTCATTTTTATTTGTACTCTATCTCTTAGTTTATGTTCAAGAGCTATATACAGAGCGCAATTACTGAAATACGAAACGATGAATTTCTTTATGAAAACATATGGTAAAACATTGAGTTTTGAAGGAAGATTAGAGTTTTTAAATTTGTGGTATGTTATGATTATTGTAAATGATCTCTTAATTATTATTGGCTCAGCTTTAAAAGAAAAAATTGAACGAAAACAATTTGGTACTGACTACTGGAATGTGTGCAGTATATTTCTTGGTACCGGAAATTTGCTCGTTTGGTTCGGTGTATTACGATACCTTGGTTTCTTTAAAACGTACAACGTGGTGATTCTAACGTTGAAAAAAGCTGCTCCTAAAGTAGCACGATTTTTAATATGTGCCATTCTCATTTATGCTGGTTTCACGTTCTGTGGCTGGTTAATTTTAGGCCCGTATCATATGAAATTCACATCTCTCGCTTCAACTTCTGAATGTCTGTTCGCTCTTATAAACGGAGACGACATGTTCGCTACATTTTCCATGACATCGTTCGAATCACCGATGTTATGGTGGTACTCTAGAATCTATTTATACTCGTTCATTTCATTATACATATACGTGGTTTTAAGTTTATTCATTTCTGTGATAATGGACGCTTACGATACAATCAAAGTTTATTACCGCGATGGTTTCCCGAAAAACGATTTGCAAACTTTTATCGCGGCTTGCACAGACAAAGCGTCCAGTGGTCTCTATAGAGACGATTCTGAGAAAAGCGATTTATCAATGCTTTTGGATCGCTTTTGTTGTTGTCGGAAAAGTCCCTTTTACGGGTCAGTCTCAGGTTCAAGTACAGAATTCTCAACGAAATCGGACCAAACGTGTGGGACAGCAGTCTGTATATAGTGCGTTAAAGAACAATAATGTATTATATAAATATTATGGCTCCACAGCAAATACTCGATATTACAATGAGAATTTTGTCATGTAAAGTATTTTCTATGAAATCAGTGCGTTCCATTTGTTTTTCGTTTTAAGGCTGCAGTAGAATACTAGCATTTTTATATCTTATGTAAATGATAATACATACTGCTAAATAATTCGTTTTAACTTCGTTAATGTAAAGTAAAATATTTTACGGAAAAATGTTTCCGCATTTAGGAACGAGACATACGTAATAATAATGGTAACGACGTCGTTGTTATTTATATAGTATGAGGTATAAAGTATTAATATACTAAAAATAATTGTAAAAATGTAACGTTTCTGCCGAAAAGTTTAATAGTGCAAAGTATTTACATGTAAGACTAACACGTACCTTTTCTTATCAAGGAGTATTTACATGTATAAATAAAACTGTAAAATGCCAAAAGTCATAAAGCAAGTATATGATGCACAGTTTTGTATATACACGGGTCTGTAATTATTATTTTCAAAAAAAATCGGACGTAATGAATTCGACATATAGGTAGTTACAAATAAGAAGATATCTCTATTAAAAATGTAATAAAATATAGAATAGTAATCTTAACAAAACAGATCAACTACACTGTACACGATGTCTTGATATTCATATATAATTTACGAAATCATGGAATGCGTTTTAGTTAAAACAAACAAACAGAACAAAAAAAAAGTGTTACCCAAAGAAATATATTTATAGTATATTTACAATGGAATATAATAAAATTGTAATTTTTTAAACTAACATTTAATATTTTCTCTTTTATAAAGTTTCTCCTTAGTTACATTAACACAAATGAATCATTGCACGAACTGTTTACGTTTTCGATGAGTCATACGTGTGCAATGTGCACTTTCAAATGCACATACATATACACCAACAAGCAAGCAACATGCTGGAACCTTATAACCTACAACTTACATCTAATAATTGTCTATAGAAAGCATTTACAGACCACGTTGGTAACATTGTTATCAGATTCTTAACGCAGAAATAAATCGCAGTAACATTTTCATATATATCAGCATAATTTTTCCTTGATTTTTTTTTATTATGAAAGGAATCCAGTTACTTCCATGCTATCTTTATTAATAAAAAAAAAGGACGTACTTTTCTGTCTAATTCTTTTGCAAGCAATATAAATATATGATCGATGGTACTTTTAACCATAAGTGAATCATTTATTACAGTTTCAATAGAGTTTATATTCACCTCATGTACAAATCTAGTGAACAGGGAGCACTGACCCAAGAAATGAGCAGAGCTGGTCACTGACCGTACCTAAACGCGATTCACTGTTTACATCCAGTTTCACATCTCGACTGTCAAGGTGAAGCGCGGCATCAATACTCTGCTGCCGTCAAGCTTGAGTGCACAGAAGACTGTTCACTGCGTAAAAATTAAACTACTTTCTCGAAATAAAGTGCCTTGTGGAAATTAAACGTAAAATTATTACGAAAGTAACTGTCAAACCTTTTTGCGGGAAAATGTCGAGAATAAGTCATACCGGAGCGGGATTGAACAAAGGCGAGCTTGAATTTCTGTTCTCGAACAAAGAAGCGTCTGCCAGTGAACACAGTATTTCAAGCATGGTTTCGAGTATTTCTGTTTCGCAAGATGAAAATTTTCGTGTGACAAAGCATGCGGAAAACAGTCTTAAAGTTATGGAAAAATATTTACATGATCAACAATTGACAGATGTCATATTAATTGCAGGTATGTAGTGTTGCAAACAAATTTCTTTGTCTTCAAAGTGACATTTGTAGCTCATTGTCTGCAATGAGTCATCTGAACTTGATTTAAAACAAAAGGTATAATATTATTTAAGGGATTAAAAGATTCATCTATTCTTCTGATTACTTATTTAGGTAAAAGACGTTTTCCAGCACATCGTTTAGTACTCAGTGCAGGTTCAGAATATTTTGCCGCCATGTTTACTAGTTCTTTAAGAGAATCTGCACAAGATGAAGTTGAATTAAAGGGTGTAGATGGGGATGCATTATGGGCTTTGGTCTGTTATTGTTACACAGGTATAATTTAGATACTTGAGAAATTATTGTAAAAAATCAATTTTACATACAATCATTTGTATGTTTCTAAACATAGGTTGCATAGAATTAAGGGAAGATAGTGTAGAAACTCTTTTAGCCACAGCATGTTTGCTACAATTGAATCCAGTTGTTAAGGCTTGTGGCCAATTTCTTCGAAAACAACTTCATCCAAGTAATTGCATAGGGATAAGAATGTTTGCCGATACACAGGGTTGTACAGATTTATTAGATCATGCTAATGCATATACAACAAAATATTTTATGGAAGTTACAAAAAATCAAGAATTTTTATTGTTATCTGCCAATGAAGTTGCCAAACTTTTAGAATCTGAGGACCTCAATGTTCCTTCAGAAGAAACTATTTTTCATGTAAGAATTTATGTCATCTATTTATAGAGAGAATATTGTCAATTTAACTTTCAATTTCAATGACTATATCTCATTAAACTCAAGGCTTGAAGTGGTAGAAGACCTATTACTGTTACTATTAACTTCAGGCACTTATGACATGGTTGGAACATGATCCAGAAAATAGACGAAAAGATGCAAGCAAGTTATTAAGTCTTGTAAAGTTACCTCTATTGTCTCCTGCAGTGAGTAAAATAATCTTCTACTGTCACAGAAACTATGCAATAACTTGAGTAATCATCTCTGTTGAATTTACACAGTTTATAGCAGATAATATTGAGAGTAATGAAATGTTCAAAGATCAAAGAATGGCACAGGAGTTAGTAATGGAGGCATTGAAATATCATCTCTTACCTGAACGTAGACCATTACTTCAGTCAGGACGTACAAAACCTAGGAAAGCCACAGTGGGTCATATGTTAGGAGTTGGGGGAATGGATGCTACTAAGGGTAAACGAATTAAAGGCAAATAATAAAATAGGTATTTCATTATTTTGTTACTACTTTTATTAGGTGCTACATCTATAGATGCATTTTCGCTACGTGATAATTCTTGGAAATCAATCTCTACCATGAGTGGTAGAAGACTTCAATTTGGTGCTGCTATTGTTGATAGAAAGTTAATAGTTGCTGGTGGAAGGGATGGATTAAAAACATTAAATACAGTAGAATGTTTTGATTTTTCAACTTTCACTTGGAGTACACTATCACCTATGAATGTTCATCGCCATGGATTAGGTGTAGCTGTATTAGGGGGACCATTGTATGCAGTTGGTGGTCATGATGGTTGGAGTTTTCTGGATACTGTAGAAAGGTGGGATCCAGCAACACGTCAGTGGGGTCCAGTTTCTACTATGTCTATACAAAGGTCTACAGTTGGTGTTGCTGTATTAAATGATAAGTAAGTCTCCAAGTAACTGATACACAGAATTACATTATTATGCTGTGTAATATGCGTGTATTTTTAGATTGTATGCTGTAGGTGGAAGGGATATAAGTTCATGTCTAAACACTGTAGAATGTTATGATCCACATACAAATAAGTGGACACCATGTGCACCAATGTCAAAACGACGTGGTGGTGTGGGTGTAGGTGTGGTAAATGGATGTCTTTATGCATTAGGTGGTCACGATGCACCTTCCAGTAATCCTAATGCTAGTAGATTCGATTGTGTTGAAAGGTAATACATATCTGAGGACTACATAATGGTTCAATGTATACATAAGTGTTAATAATTATTAGGTATGATCCGAAGACAGACACATGGACTATGGTAGCACCAATGAGTGTTCCAAGGGATGCAGTTGGTGTTTGTGTGCTTGGTGATAGACTTATGGCAGTAGGGGGATATGATGGTCAACAATATCTCACACTTGTTGAAGCATATGATCCTCATCTTAACGAATGGGAAGCAGTAAGGATAAATTTATATAAAATGTTATTTAATACTAAAATATTTAAGGAAATGTTACAGATATTTGTACTGCAAAATAATATATTTTAAGGTTGCTCCGTTAAATGCTGGACGTGCAGGAACTCCATGTGTTGTCATAAAACATTTAACGGGTCTCGGATTTGATTAATGGTGCGATTGTGCACGTGCTCAAATACGAAATTTTCAAAACAAAGTGAAATATTTTAATTAAAAATCTTAAATCAAAAACTGAATTTATGAATGTTACGGTATTATAAAAGCAGCATTATTTTTGTCTATAATTGTATATTTATAGACACAACGTTTCAATATGGACATAGCAATATTTGTACCCGAATTTGATACGTTGCGAGTACTATCGTAAATTTGTACATATTTATACCTACGTCTTTTGTATAAACATACTTAAATTTATTTTTAACAAATACATTTTTCATGTCGAACAGATTTATTTTTCTTGTCGAGATAATACTTTATTTACATGTATTCATATATATTTTGTGAACATATCTTTTTTAAATAAATAGGATACTCATTTTAACTAATCCATTGAATGTTTCGTAATCATATTACTTAACAAAATTACCCATTGTACCTTTTCATGTAACCCTAACAAGCAGGAAATGTTCTGAAACACATATAAAGAAATAATAGATCAATATAAAAATGCATGTTATACGTTGTACATTTAATCTAAATTTTTATAAATTAAAATTACCGCGGAAAATCAGATGCTGGTTCTGCAAATTTGTGTCTAACCATAAAAGTAGCAATTGCTTCTGCAACTTTATCTGGAACATCTTCATGTACTGCATGTCCACATGCAGGTAGTACTTGCATTTGAAATTTACCTGAAAAAACAAAGAAAAAATATATAATATTTGGCATAAATTTGAATGTAAATTTGAATCGTACCTTGCATTTGACCAACCGTAAGTTCCCGATCTAATCTATCGACACCAGCAAGCAGTAATACCTTTGGAGCCGGTACATTTAAGAATGCAGTTGACAAACCATTAAACCATCCATGCCAATACTTTTCAGTCTTGGATAAGTCTATTCTCCAAACATATTTTTTAGTAGCAGTGGCAGTGGTAGGGGGAGGTGGCGGTAGCATATTTACAGGTTCCTCTTCTTGAATAACATCTTCACGCGAAACCTTAGTTTCTGTATTACACTCGCATGTTGTTTGCGATAGAGAATCGATATCATGAGTGGCTAATTTGTTGGTTTCGATGCTAGAGCAATACAAAATATATACATAGTACCACAGAAAAAATAAGATATGAATGTGATATGCACATAAATACTAACTTTTTTATTTGTCCAGGAACTGACACCTTAGCTGATTGTATGTTACGGATTTGGCCACTTCGTACACTAAAATGTGGATAATTAGAGACATTCTTCTATAAAATCTCGTTTTGATTATACAACACAAATATGTAATATATTAAAGGGGTAAATAACATTTTAGTTTGTACAGGATCAGCCAAAAATATGCCTTCCTTCTGAACAATGTACTTAGAATAGCAAGTTTTGTTGACTAAAAAGATTTACACAAAAGTCACAAGGAAGATGTAATTTATATCTTTCTTAAAATGTAAAATATAAATACTAACCACCACTCCACAGCTTGAGAAATAGAGCTAAAACTAGATGGCCGAGATCTTAGAAAGCTTTGCATAGATGCTAATGCATCCATAGCTGTTCCTTCAACAACATCAATAACTCCTAATCCATACAAATTCCGAATTAATGGAGCAGCTCTAACAGCTACTGCACCACCCATACTGTGACCCACAAGGATTATCGGATCATCTTCTGTTGTTTCTCTAACAATTGCCGCAACATCTCTAATAACCAAATGAAACAATCAAAATGTAATGTACATTGTACAATTTATTCTTGTACCGAATTAAAAATTTTACTCACTCTGCTAAAATATCTGTAGACAAGTTTTCTTCCATGATTGATTTCTAAAACATGCAAAATGTGCAAATTATTCTGCATTTCATACATTTAATAGTTAATACCTACAGTGAACTCTGCCCAAGTTAATGCACTGTAACCACCCCCATGTAGCAATACTAATGTAGGTCCTTTTGTACCCTTAGTATAAATATGAAATTTATCATCTCCTATATTCACTTTCTTGGAATGATCAAAATATGGAATCCACTGAACTGGTTCATAGTCTCTTTTACGCTGAAATCCCTTTGATTTGCTAACCCTATTGATTAGAAAGATAAAAATGTTAATGCTAGTGAATTCCAATGTTTTCCGTTAAATCTATACGAAAAAACTCCTATTATTAAATTGCATTTATGAAAAGTTCAATTTTACTAAGATTTCATTCAATATTTTAAATATATATAATTTACAATACACTAACCTAGCACTCATTCCAACATTGACACCTGACGGTGGTAGTTTTGATTTTAAAATCGACTTTTGGAGGGAAGACATATTAGTATTGCAAGCTTCGTTTGCTTCTGTAATAATACTATTTGTAATCACAATTGTTTTCACTGGTCTTACAAACACATCACAAACTGTATTATTGTTGTTTCATCCACATTTAACGGAATGCCAAAATCACTCTGACAGCTTTAAGTTGTTACTACCTGAAATCACCGTCTATATCTTCGAGGTGGAGCGCCTCCATGAATTTATTGTTGCAGCGTCTCTTTCCTTCTTACCGATAAAATTTGAATAAAGTTATCTTACGTCGATACTAAAGATCAATAAATATTTATGTAATTTATACTTCACTTTTTAGTGCAAATTAAATTTCAATTGTCAGAAAATATTTGATTATGTATAAAAAAATATTAATCGTTTGATTTTTTATTTTATAAATTTATAACTATAAGCTTTTATAACTCTTAATTTATGCTTTCTAAATATAGGAGAATGACAAGTTGCATAAATATTCCACTCAGTGTTTTGAATACGAATACTTTCCACGGACATCCAGAATCGCAAAAATTAAAATTAAAATAACCTCTTGCAATAATAATTCACACTAAAGTATTAAATGTACTACAATTGTATGTAAGTACGGATGCATACGCAAATTTAAAAATATTCTATAACTATAAGAGTATAATTGATCAAGGTGCCTAGTTGTACTATTCTACGTATAGAACATGATAGAGGTCACTTTAACTGTTGTTACCATTATAGGTGAGACGCAGTATATTCATTGTTAAAAAATACTTACCGGCGGTACACATTACACTAGAAATATACTATATTTGTTATTAAATCGGTACTAACTGTTATATATTAAGAATAGTAGTTTATCATATGAACAATTCCTATTATTGGTAAGTATTATAGTACATATTTATATATACCAGACTTGTTTCTCGTATGATATTTGGCCCCAAGTGTGTATTGCAAATTAATGTTAACTTGCATTACTTTTATTCCTTCTTATCAACAACAGTAAATTTATGTTTAATTGTATTTTACATATTTTTTAATATTCAACTTTTTATTCACCTTTCCTTTTTTTATATCGTGGTGTACTTTATATCCTTGCAGCAATTTCCACTACACCCGAACATTTGAACACTACAATTTACCAAACGGTTTTCACAATACCAGTGAAGAAAAGAAATATTATTAGAAAACTGAAATACAGAGTAAACTATACTCACTCTGTGTCTAAGCTGCATCGATAACGTTGGGAGTGACAAAATTATTTATCACATAACGTCTCACCACTCGGTACATAATCTTACGAATACAATTTACACAAAAATTTACCAACTCTACGAATAAATAACACGTAAAACCTCTCTAATTTCCACATTTCTGTGAACAGCTCCTACATTTAATAATTACCAACACTTTTCGAAATAAACTTTTACTTTCATAAAACGTCCAAAATAATCCTATCGACGATAAACTCTTCTTTCTAATAAAAAGGACTGAAACGACGAATTACAGTAATAGAAATATAATTCTATCCTGTGAAACTTAAAGGATCCAGAGATTGAACGGATCTGGAGATGCGTGGGACAGCACGTGTGCGTTTAACGGAAATGAAACGCTCGAGGCGAAACTCCACGGCGCAAACGTGGTCCCTCCCTCTCTGTTCTTCCTCTCTCTGTGTTTCTCTCATCGGTTGTTCAGCGTACTTGCCGCAACCCGAGCACGAAGCAACGACTGCTGACCCGTCATATTGATCGACCTGGATCCGCACTTCGTCTCTATCCGATTGCGCGACTCGGGTGGCGCTTCACGAACCGCGCCGCGACGCTCAACGACGCTTAAACGCGCTAGCGTAGTCGCAACCACTGCACCTGCTTACACCGCAGCGTCCTTCCTTACGTGGAATCGTCCACCGCCATGCTTGGCGTGGTGCAGTGATCATTTAAATCGGCTAGGAACACACTGATTTAATCGACGACAGTGACGGTGATCTTGTAACGAATTGCCGGAAGGGTTGGAATTTAGTGTGCCTCATCTCCTTCTTCTTCTTCTTCTTCTTCTTCTTCTTCTTCTTCTTCTTCTTCTTCTTCTTCTTCTTCTTCTTCTTCTTCTTCTTCTTCTTCTTCTTCTTCTTCTTCTTCTTCTTCTTCTTCTTCTTCTTCTTCTTCTTCTTCTTCTCCATCGAGTTTCCGGTTTATTTCAATGGTTGAGTATTCCGGATCTTCTTATCAGTTGTGTACGTATATTGACAAGGGCATAAAACGAACAGTTGGAAAAGGAAAAGAAAAAAGTATCTTATCGAGGGATGCTGTTTTTCTTTTTATTTTCTTTTTCTCGTGACGTCGAGTGCATAAGTAATTTTCAGTGAACAGTATAAATTTTGTGAAATTGTAAATTCGTACGAATATGTTTGTGTGACATCAGGAACGTTCAAAGTCCGTGTTTCTGAAACTCGATGACAGACCATCTGGTTTTTCCTGTCTGGTTCTAATTAATATTAATTCACGCGGTTTCCACTTGTAGTAACCTTTCTCCCACGTTGTAATTGGTTCGTTACTCTGTCCTCGCGCATCTTTCCTTTCTTTCTTCGTTGCTCGAGGGGCGCTGCAGAAATAATTGTTGCATCTCGTAGCGATGTATTTGACGAAAACGCGACGAATATCTTGTAGCAAGTTCGCCTCTCTGGTGCAGTCTTATCGTTGTACGTGGAATAAGTGTCAGGCATGCAACGAACGCGATTTTTTCCTGTGAATGGAAGTGTCTGCCCTTATCTACTGAAACGTATTAATTTGTCTAGAATAGATTCAATCTTTCGCCTGTAATTTTGCTTCACATTTTACGCAGTGTTGGATTATTGTTCAGTGAAACGTTGTTCACGTAAGTTTGTGTAAAAAAAAAACCTCGCTTCGCTGTTTTATATGTAAATAATAATTTCACGCCTACGTGGTAATACTTCTACGCTGCGGATACTGAAGCCAGTGAAAGAGAATGGAAACCTACAAAAATCCAAGTTTAAAGTTCAACGGTGCTCCAAAATTCTGTTCAAATTATTATTTTTCAATCGTTCATTTTTCACTTGAAAAAAATTTTCACGCAGAAAATATCTTTAAATATTTCTTTCTATTCTTCTATATCAATTGTTGACTTGGGAAATATGAAAATTAATTAGTCAGTGCTAGTTTCGAAATTCATACACGATTTCGCACGCCAAACTTGAGCAACAGGTGTTTATATTTTAAACATTATCGACACAGTTCAGTCTAAAGACAAGTTATTCATGTCTAAAATGTTTATTTGAACGAAACCGATATTGTTATCGTAGCGTAGAAGTTTATCAATTTTCACCTGAGCGAGTAAGCAAAAAGTTGGAACGGTTTTTATCCAAATTTTTCTTTCATCCCTCAGACGATCCTGTTTTTTTTTTTTTTCACAGTCGAGTGAATTTAAAAAATTTGCATGCAATGCCCGCCGCTGCGCACTATAATACCTTGCACGGTTTTTTTTCACCACTATTTTCCATCTCGTACATCAAGTGGCCATTTCATCTTCCTTCATGCAAACATTTACGTACGCGACAGCGAGCCGTTTAACCGATCCTCACATACACATACACATTGTCCTGTCGATCAATTGCTTGGTTGCATGTAGAGAAAGAGATTCGAGGCATTGCACGAAATTATGTGCCACCGGGGCATTCAAGTTGTGCAAACACATTCGAAGACAAGACTCGTTTTTATTTTATTATCGAAAGTACAGACACAAACCACTTGCCCTATGTTCGCCTTCTTCTTCCTTTTTTCATTTTCTTCTTCTTATACAAACCTCGTGTGCGACTTTCCTCCGAACAGACAATTTTTCTACCTTTTCTAGGATTTTTTTCATCGAGAACGGTAAATAAAAAAAGAGTTAGAATTTTTCTCCCCTCTCGGTCGATTCAATCGACGTTCTCTGTTCGTTAAACGCGTCCTTTCAACCACCTTGTTAAACGTGACAATCTAGCAACGTTTCGAATGTCACATTCAATTCGCACAGATTGCGGACTTCCGATCCGGCTCGTCTTTCACCGTATCTAACAGCCACGGTTTCCTGGAAAACGAAATTAACGCGACGTCGCGCGACACTATTTGCCAAGTAGTCTCTGGATCCGATTCCACAACGATTCCGTCAGAAACGTCGAATCTTTTCGCTTGAAATTATTTCAGGATCGTCGGGACCGGTGATCGTTCGAGAGAGATCTCCTAGAAGTGACGTAAGATCGAGGGGAGGAGGCTGCGCTGCTCCTCTTTCGATGTGTCTGGCAGGAAGATGAGTTTGCGACACTGTCACAGAAGACACGATTCAGATCGGGATGACGATCGTCTGTCCTCGTAGCGGACACTTTGTAAATCCTGCGAAACCTTAGATCAAGCGTTACGACTCACTTGGCAAGTCGCTGTCTCTCGTTGTGTGCGCGTATGTGTGTATACACGTAGTCCTTCGTGAAAAAAGAGTTTCCTTTCTGTCCGTGTGAAAAGGGATCAAGAGAAAATTTCGTCGGTCTATAACAGAGGTAAATCTAGTATTGCGTTAGTTGAGACATACTTGTTTTCTAGCTTGTATTTTGCACCCTAAGCAGCTGTTTCTTTTTGTCACAAGTACACTTCCTATTTAGCAAAGGTGTACACTTTCAGTGTCACGTAGATCGATATACATCGCGTTATCGAATTATTTCAAGCATGCACTGGGAGAATTTTCGAAGATATGAGACTTTAACGACGCATTGTTCCATGAAGTAGGTAATCAGGCTCGTTGAACGTTGTTATTTATGCGCTTTGATACGCCGCCTGTTGTTTCAGCAGAGAACACCGAGGACTACTTACCCGCCTCGAGTGGTTTACCTTTCTCCTCTGTGTTACACTTTTTCTCGATCGTTGTTTCACAACGATCACCGCTTTATCTATATTCTTTTCGTCTAGCTGGGAATGAATTGCAAATTAGAAGACGCGGAGTGATTCGATTAAAGCTTCTCGTTTCCTCGTCGCTCCACACTCTTGTTTTTCTTTCTTTCCCCAATCGAGCGTTAATTTCAAAGCTGTTCCGGTCCACAGCTTTGGTAACGACGGGCATCTTTCTTTTCGCCGTGATATTCAACGTGGAAGGTTAGAACGAAGCCTGGTCGAAGTATTAGAATAAATGACCCTTCAAACAAACAATCGACCGGAAACCATAGCGCGGAAGGCGGAGTGATAATCCCTTTTAACGGATTAGACGGTTAAAGTAGCGTTTCTTTCGTCAAGTGTACCTCGTCATTGTAGTGTTTAACGGACAACACACGTACTTCGTTCGTCGAATGGACGTTACATAAAGAAGAAATACGCGAAGTGTCGATTGTTCCAGGAACATCGGCGTTCCATTTAAGCAGATTTGTTACGAAATCAAGTTTAACTCTCTATCGGAACGGTTATCTCGCGAATCGAATTTTCGCACGATCATATCCTCGGTTGTTTCGCGTCTCTCTTCGAAATTATAGCGCGAAAGCGAAAGCTTGTCGATACTCTCGAGAATCGTAAGATCTGTGTGTGCGCAAGAAGGATGCTTAATGTAACATCGTTTAGGCAAGGCTACAAGAATCGTAGAAAGGGTAGATGCGGTATTTTGTTGGCTCGCTTGTGTGCCGCAGTGTTGTTTGCCGCAAGATTGCGTGAAAACCAAAATACACCGACCCGATTTTTTAATTACTGGAATTTGTCGGAGACCACCGCTCCTCCGCGTTCAACTTTTCTGTTTACCACGTCGAGGATCGTGTAATCCGAGAAAATTGCCGAATCGAGAAATTAAATGTAAACTTGATTTTTTAATAGGTTTAGATTGTTGTGACAAATTTGAGCGTGATGTGAAGTTTGTTGCGAACGATGGCTGAACTCGTTATTTTCACTTCGCAGCATGATTCTTGTTGTGTACGACTTTTTCACCGCGAGTCCACTCCAATTTTTTCATGCATTTCTCCGAGCGGCCCTTTCTTGCTTGTTATCTTACTTACACATGCCTGCTGCTTGCTTTTCTTTTCATTAAGCCTCCGTTCTCTCTGCCTTCTTGACATATTTTGTATTTTTCTTTTACACACTAGACGAATTAATCAGCAGTTCATTCGTTATTTTAGACAAATCAGATTGTGTATTTACGTGGTAATGAATTTTAGAGTATTTCTAATTTCATCCCAGAAGTTCGTGTCGAATTTCACAATTTAGATCGATATTTCTAATATAAAAACATCTTCTCCTCGTTTCGCAACTTTTTCTGTATTTTTAAAATTTTCCAATTTCCTCGGATTTTCGTTCAAATATTCGTCACTTGGAGCACGAACTTGCGGGATGACACGATGGAATTTATTAATTCGTTTTCCTCGTGGAACGCGTAGGTTCCGTGTGAAGTATCGATTTTCTAAAACAGACGATTCTATTTCAGCACTAATACACTTTGTCTCTCGTAATTAGAAGCGGTCACTGGTTAACGGTAGATAAGTGTGGTACGTCGAGGCTTTGAATTTTATTTTCTCTTTACAGTCGATCGCCTAACGGGCGAATGCAACTACGCGAATCGTGTGAAGCGTGCATTCCTACTGTAGGGGTAAGCTCGTGACGCGGAATGAAGCTGGACCGGAAGTGAAGAGGAAACCATCGCGGAAAATCATGGGGACGAATCATCTGATAGTGGGTAAGTTTCGTGTGGAAACGTCATTTCTTACACGCTGTTCTCTTCTTTACCAGGCGAAACAGATTTCACCCGTGATTATTTCGTGTCTTTTGAGTCGTTTCTGTTTGTGGTGTTCTTGCGAAGGAATCCCAGGCACGTTAGTGGTACATACTTACATTACCAGCACAATAATAGAAAACGGACTTAAGCGAAGATACATTACCACACATTTCCTTTTTTGTCTTTTTTTTTTTTGGGAGATTCTAACCGTTCTAAACTGTTCTTTTTATTTAAATCTACAATGTACATTTGTCGTTGTTTCTTTGTTTTTTCGGAGTTGCGAAAGAAGCATTTGTACGATATTCGTTGAAATTTGGAAGGAACATTGTCACTTTAAATGTTGTCATTTTACGAGGACACGTTTCTTGAATTGTAACGGAGATTTCGAGGTAAATGCACCTGTAGCGCTAAGTAAATCTATCTTCGTTCAATTCACGCTACACGCAGCTGTAATAGCGGTAGGTTGTACCTTGTGAATGTGTTAAAAGATAAGTGTTTCTAATTTTTACTAGCTCGCAACAGTTTAGAAGGTTTGACATTTCTTTTTTTTCTCCTTCGTAAGACGAACATTTGGTTAGAGAAAAATGTCACTTTAATATATTTTTCTAAATGTATTCTGTTTTGCTTATTGGAAGTTCTATTTGTAAAAACTATCGTGCATCATTGGTAGTATATACCTACTTGCACATGGCGTGGAACGTGTTAACCCTTTACACTACTTTCATTTTTCATATACGATTGATCAGCTACTATAGCACACTCTTGCAGCGAAATTTTTGGAAGCTAAAGGTTCTGTTCTGAAAAGAAGAAATAAAACTTGAGATATTTGCGAAATAAAATTAAAAGATTTGGCAACAGAAAATTTG